GTGAGGGATTTAGTATGGACTTGATAAGCATTTTTTGATAATAAATTTGTATAAAGTTCTCTTATTGTTTAATCAAAAAGACAAGGTCAAAGCTTATCACAAGACATGAACAATATTCAGCATCATAGGTAGATTGTCGAATTGAATTGCTATCCATCTCAGTTTTTAATTCGTGTAATCTCTGATGATGATATTGCCACTATTGTGACTCAGGAATTGGGGAAAAAATAGATTATTGATTTCCTTAATTGATTCTTGCTAAGTTCTTGCTTACTGACGAGTCTTTTTTCTAATTATGTGATCAAAGACAAAATTGTATAAAAATGGATATAAAAATATAAAAAATATAAGTAGAGCTAAAATTGAATGGATCGAACATGCCTCATATATTATTAAAAATAACAGCTATTTTTAACACAAATTATAGTATATTTCAATTTCATTTCAGTTGCTATATTTTATTAATCTGATGAATGTTATAAATTTTATTAGAGTGGCGATAATAGTGATTGGACGTTACTATCATCGCCGAAGATGAGAAAATTTAATGGAATAAAATATTTACTTTGTGAGTTGTACTTCAAGGAGTAGATACAACCCTAAAAAATGGAAAATATCTCTTTTTTACATTTTCTATGCCTTCATATTTTTTTAAATGTGTATTCTTCAAGACTAAAAGAGGTTTAGAAAGATTTAAAATAAAAGTTTTAAAAGCAATCATTGACGGATATTAAAATTAATTAAACAAGTTGAAGCGAACTTATCATTTATGATTCCACATTTTACAGTAGAAAGCAAGGCCCTATAAAAAATATATAAGAAAAGTAAGATATCTGTCTCAGGAAGCGTAGATAATGAAAATCCTTATGTTATGCTGGAAAATAAAAATATTGCTAATCATGAAAAAAAAATTATTAAGAAACACTCACCCCCCCCCACCCCCAACAGAAAATTTTGAATAAATAATTAGCCCTAATGATACGAAGAAATTTAAATGATAATTATACTTGCTTATAACCAGATCTATAGACCGACTATCAATAATAAAAAGACGCTTAACCATTCAAACAATGTTAAACAGGACCTTTTACCACAGGGGAAGGGGTTATAACTCAAGATTGGCATTGAAATTAAAATGGGTAGTTTATATTTGGAATTCCGTTGTTCTAATTTTGATGTGGTATAGTAAATGAGGGGAGTGGGGGAAGAAGGGGGTAGTATTATAATATATGATGCAAAATCTTTTGATAATTAGGTATTTGAAATATCTTCTAAGTGTAAAGAGTTAGTAAAATATTGTGCAATCTGCTGCAAATATCAAGCTTCGATATTTTCTAAAGAAAGACATTACAAGGCGATGAAAATCAGTGTATATCATGATACAATTCTTATAATCATATGATGAAATACAAGTTTGTCTGTGAACCAACCATATTTAAACAAATTGGTATCAATAAATATAATCCCTATATGTAAATAAAAAATTTCTTATATATATTAAAAGTCTGATCTTCGGAATGTTTAACAAGTGCAAAAAACCTGTAAAAAACATTTTAAATTGATTCATCTTTCTCTATACTGCTAAGGAGTTTAGGCTTGTAATAACAAATTTTAATTGTACTAAAATCAATTTAGAGAAAAAAGTATATTATTTTAAATTTTGTCGATGTATAATTTTTAGGTAAGGGTTTGAACAATCATTTTGTATTTTGTAAATTCAGATACAATTATTTTCGGACCTATGACGATTTTGACAGAAATTAATCCAACCACCCCCTGGTCTTCCCAGCCTACCCTGTAAATATTAGACAGTACTCTAGTGATCTTTTAACTAAACTTAATTTTGGTAAGGCGATAGTTTGATGGGTATTGTTTTATTTTTTGTTATTATTTGCATTTAAAATCATTAATTGAGTGCGTTTTATTAAATTTAAAAATCTGATTTTGCCAGATACCCACCCTTAATGTTGCGCAATCGGTAAATTTTAGGCAATTCCAAAACGGTTAGCAAAGTTTTTAGATTAAAAAATCGGCTAAGCATAATTAGAGCATAAAAATAGGGAAAACTAATTATTCAAAAATTAGGCATCGGCTAAGGAGCTCGGTTAATCGCCCGTCATAGTTACATAATAAATATATAAAATAATTTAAATAAAGACTAGACTTAGTGTTGCGTAACGCTGACGCGCGATTAGCCTAGCTCCCAGTCCCTACATTTTGTCTAATAAGTTTTAGGCGATTTTTCGGTTAAGCCAAATTATGTTTAGCTGATTTTTAGACACTACTTATAAATTTCAGATTAATGTAAAAAAGAGGTTCAATATAAGATCTTCTGAAATTTATAGGGTGGGTATTCTACACATATTATAATGCATTTTCGGAAAATCAGATTTAAAATTTAATAAAACGCGCTCAATTTATGATTTAAAATGAAAAAATATAACAAAATAAAAATATTAAAAATTTTGGCGCATGAAATTCCCAGGGTAGATTCTTTTCGAAATTGGTAAAATCAAAATAAATTATAAAAGCGCACTATAAATCAGAGACCTATAGGCCCGACCTTAAACCCGGGCCGTATTTTAATTTTTTTAAATACACGGGCCGGGTCAAAAAAAAGCTTTTTTTTAAAAACTCGGGCCGGGCCAAGCAGATTAAAATAATGCACAAAGCAACTAAATATTGACAAAATTTTCTAAAACAATTGGCGTAAGGCTGGCTTTGTTGCTAATAGTTTTTTTTAAAATGGCTACTCTACTAGTTAAAGCAAAGCACTAATAGAAACTGATAGAGAAGGAAACATTTTCATAATTTTAGCATTACTACTTCTAATTGTTCACCGTATTTTAAAAAAAATAACAACAGGAAACTCAAAAAATATTATCATAATTATTCATAAGCAATACAAATCAGGAACGTGAATAATTTTTTTTAAGATTATTTTTTCCCTTTTTTTATTCAAGGGTTCCGAGAATTTATATGACGGCATCTGGCTTGTTTTTTTGAGAAAATTTATTAAATAATACTTAATTCATTTTCTATAAAATCATTCTCTATAAAATTCTTCAATATAAAATCATTCTCTATAAAATCCTTCTCTATAAAATAATTCTCTCTAAAACAATTCTCTGTAAAATATTTTCTATAAAATAATTCTCTGTAAAATATTCTCTATAAAATCATTCTCTATAAACGAGATTCTCTATAAACGACATTCAAATATAATTATTTTCTATATATAAAAGTTTCTCTATAAAATCATTCTCTATAAACGACATTCTATAAAATTGTTTTCTCTTTAAAAGTTTCTCTATAAAATAAATTCTCTATAAATGAGATTTCTATAATTGTTTTCTCTTTAAAAGTTTCTCTATAAAATAAATTCTCTATAAAATCATTCTCTAGAAACGAGATTCTCTATAAACGACATTCTCTATAATTGTTTTCTCTTTAAAAGTTTCTCTATAAAATAAATTCTCTATAAAATCATTCTCTATAAAAGATATTCTTTATAAACGGCTTTCTCTATCATTGTTTTCTCTATAAAACTCTATATTTGCATTATCTATAAAAGATTCTCTGTTAAGACGGGATACCGTTCTGTGGATGCTTGCCTTCCTCCATAAATGGCAGATTTGTTAAAGTAGCGTGCTACTTGTAGTGCGCTAACTTTTTTGGTAGCTATAGCCAATAGCGGCTACTTTTTTGTAATTATTTAATATTTTAGCGCGCTACTTAGCTACTTTTAAAAAATATAATGAAGGTAAGTATAAACATGAAAATTTAAATATAATATCATAATTAATTATAATTTTTAGGATTTATTATTTAATTTTGAAATTTATATTTTCAATTTGTAATTTATATTTTCATTTGTATTATAAACCTGAATCACGGGTTAATAATTTAAAATGTCATCGCCTATGGATATCACAATGATATTAATGAAATGGGAAATACCAGGGAAGAAAATATTTTTAATAGCTATAATACAAATTTCCCATTCCCTAGATTTGAAAATTTTAAAATAAATATAAAAACCAAAACTGGCCTCAAATTTATTTGTTTAAAATGTAAAAAAAATATTTCCTCAAATCAATCCAGTTATACCCTCAAGAAACACCAAAAGGTAAATTGTCATTTTTACATTCTAATAATATTTATTTTATACTGTTCATACCAATAGCTTTAAGGAAATGGAGAAACATTTAAATAAATTTGGTATAGGCGACTCCACATCCAAAAAGACTAATTCAAATCAAACCAAATTAATTAATAATCAATGCCAATATTTCTCAGAAATTGGCTGATAAAGTTATTGTTGATTTTATAATTGATACAGTTCAGCCAATGTCCTTGGTTGATAATCCAGCATTTACCTTGATGACTAAAACTCTATCCTCTGGTACAACAGTTTTATGTTGCCAGACACTAATGAATAAAATAGCAGATAACTTTAAAGTGATGAAAGTTGCTCTAATAGTAAAGTTATCAGAGATATCATATATATGTACCACAGCAGAGAGTTGGACACATAACACTATAAAATGCAACAAATTACCATAAATATTTATTTTTATTACATAAATTTTTTTATAATCAAAAATGTTGATTTTTATATATTTACTATATAATAATATTATAAGCAAAAAATAAAACAAATGTTTCTAATTTTTTTTATAATAAGTAGCTTAAAAAGTAGCTAATGCTACTTTTGAAAATAATAGCTAATGCTACTTTTGAAAATAATAGCTAATAGTGAGCTACTTTTTTTGACAAATAGCGATAGCGGTAGCGTGCTATTTAAAAGTAGCGATTAACAACCCTGATAAATGGTGAATACATTAAGTATGAGTCAATATATCATTTGAGTCTATAAAGTTTCTGCTGTGATTGACCAAGTAATGGTCATATTTATTTTCATTCAATAAGATTTTTATAACTTGAAAAAATATTAAATTTTAAGATTTGTGTGATCCTCCCTATAATTTACATTTTACTTAATCGGGTACGGGCTTTTCTCTCTCTTCTTATTTCCCGTAGGTCGCCTCTTGCGCGCACAGGTAACTGCAGCCTGCCCAAGAACTGTGGATGGGCTCATCTCATAGGTTACCCCCAAATTTCTTAACCCAATTAGATGGGATGAGATAGTCCAAGCATAGCTCTGCTGTTTCATATAGCGATAAAGAGTAATTGCGCTTATTATGACGTATTATTTTTTAATACAAAAAAAAAATTTTTTAAATAAAAAAAAAATATTCAAAATTTCCCCAAGTTTCAGTGATTACCAAAAAATGTGTATATAACAGATCAATGCTTGGTTCTCTTAAAAATCAACCAAATTGGGAAACAAAAATTTTAATAATTATTAAAAAAAATGATAAACGTTTGTTGGGCAGGCCCTCAAAACAAGTTTGCTATTTAACATTTACGGAAAGCAAGAAGATAAAAAAAAGTATGTAGCCAATTTAATATTCATGAAATAAAAACTTCAAGTTATATATTAAACTGTCAAATAATATTTTATGCTTAAAAAAAGCTGAATATATAAATAGTGAATAAATCATAATTATGAATTTATGCACAATTAAATTTAAAAAAAGGTTATCATTATCGATGTCAATTATGTATACCTCTCTTGTAAAATGGCAGCAATTTCTTTGCAAAAAGTGACACCAATTTTGATAGATTTGCAACTCTCTTCAAACCCTAATTGACCCTATAATAAATTTATCATAAATTACTAATATAAAATTAATTTACCATATTCAAGAATTAATATTATTAAAAAAATAAGAATTAAAAAGGTATCATTTTTAAAAAATTTCTAAAATTTAAAATAAGGGATAAATGATGTAATGATTATGCTAGGTATTTACTTTTTCAAAAAATTGTACTTTTACACTTCTCAAATCAAACCATTTCAAAAATTTCATAAATTTGAATAATAATATTAAATTATAAAAAAAATTAATTTACATACTAGTGATTATTATATATTTTGTATTATACTAGTTCTATAATAATAACTGTATATTTATATTATAACTAAATACTAGGCTATAACTCGACAATTATCTCATAATTTCGGAGTTAATAAGTAGCATATTCATTCTAATAAGCTTATAAAATTTAACATGCACGTAACCAATATGAGCGAATCCCCCAATTGAAATTTGTTTGCTTTCGTAAATATGATTATAAACCAATTTCTCCCTACACCCCTCTCTCCCTTAGAAATATATACAATAATGTTAATTAGTAATCAAGATTTTAGAGACGTTTGTTAATATATTTTTGAGGAAAAAAGTTTTTTTTCTGCTCCTTTTAAATGGATTAGCATTTTTTTTAATGTTTACTGAGAAGAAAAAAAACGTGGATATTGTATTTTGAAAAATTCCATGTACACAATGGTAGAAGAATCTTATTATAATGAATGAGAAAATGATTAAAACATAATATTCGTAAAAGTTATTTTACAATAAAAAGATAGATAGTTATTGACCAAATTAAAAGATAAGATAATCAGTAAAATATGGGTTTAAAGGGTTCAATTTTCTTGAGCAAATTAAAATAATTAATAAAAATTAAGCATGGATTTAAAAGAGTTAAATTTTATAAAGATTATTTTTAAAAGTTTGTGGTATTTAATGGAAGAATCATTTAATATTACTGTATGTTTACTTTTAGTTTTAGAATTATGGCAACTAAATGGATGGACTTTCAACAACTCAAAAATTTATAACCCATAATTTTTCTTCTTCAAGATACCATAAATTTTATTGTTCCAAAATTAAATATCCATAATTATTATTTATATAAAAATAAAACAAGATCCAAATTGATTGACATTCCTTATAATATATGGTTATTTAAACAATTTAATTGTCATTTTGAACAATTACAACACCACCCCTCATAAGCCTAATGTACATCTCCTCCTAGTGAAGTTGAAATTTATCGATCTTCAGATTCATTCCATTATCGCATTTCTAGCATTGATCATTTCTTTTATTATTTATCATCGCCTCCTTGAATTGTATCGACTTTTGACCTTTTTTTATCGTCCATGGTATTTATCGAATCGTATAATTGAAATTTACATATTTATAATACAGTGGCGTGGCTAGGAGAGGGCGCGCATGGGCTCGAGCCCTCTGAAAAATTTGAATAGCCCTCTTAGCAAAAAAAATTTTTTATTGGCTCCTTAATATCTCCTTGAACTAAAAAATATTTTTTTTGATTGCCTCTTGAATGATTTCTTTTATAATTCCATTAGGTAATATATAGATTTAATTTTATTATTTAGAAATTAATAAGACTATTTAAATTTTTATAAAATGAATACTATTTTAATTATTAGATTAGATTAATACATATAAATTATATTTTCAATATGTCAGCTTGCAAAATTCTGTATTAAAAATATAATATCAATAACTCAAAATTTTAATTTAGCTTTAACAGTTGAAGTTTAATTGACTTTTATTATTTAAATTATTATATAACCTTAATTAAATAAATATAATCATATATTATTTGAAAATTAACAAATTTAATATTGTAACATTGATATATCATTGTATTGTAATTAGCCGAGTTCAAAATGACTAATCAACTGTATATTTAGTTTTAAATTTTATTATCATATCTATTCCTAAAAATATTTTCAAGGTCCAAATATGTTGTAAAAAATAAGTGGACACATAGTTTATAATCCTCTACTATATACATTTTTTTTATAAAATATTTAACAACACTAATTTCTAATATGGCACTGCCGTGTAAATAAATTCAAGCTTCAATATATTTGCATAATTATTTCTTCCAAATATTTTTAGTGTTTTTATTTTATCACTTTATATAACATAATAAATTTTGATATTAATTTACATCGTGAGTGTCATAGCTATTACTTCAAATTAACCAGCACCTATTATTTGTGTTGCTATGTAATTTAAGATTATTACTACAACTGCTGAGAGCATATGATTGCATATTTAGATAAACAATAATGGTCAATTGTGTAGTCGTTTATATAACATATAAAATGGAAGATAATCTTTTAGAAATTTAATATCTCACAATAATTTTCTCGATTATTTATCTAGCTTCCATCATGACATCTAAAAGGAAGCTCTAACCACCATATAGTTTTATAAATTGGTCGTTTATACTCTTGTCTTCAAAAATTGTTGATTTGGTTTTGGCTTATAAATTTTTCCTTATTAGTCCATTATATAAAACATTGTATAAAATGGTAACAGAGAGTTATATTAGTTTGATAACCTTTTGTCAATGTAAGTTGCAAGAATATTATTGCATTATGTGGTTTTTAAAAACTATTATCAATTGAGGCATATGTATGAATTAATTAATCTTTTTTATCACTTGTAATTCTATAGACACAAATTTTTTTTATATCAGCGATCTAAAATATTTTACTGTAATAAATAGATGTAATAAAAAATATTATTTTTAGAAATGTCTTGTATTGTTTTAATTATTTATATGCCAGTTTATTTTGTATGCATAATATAATAAATGACAAAATATGAAATTCAGAATAATTGTTCCGACAAATTTAAAAAAAATATAATATACTAGCCCCCCATCAATTTTTTTAGCTGAGCCCCCTGAGATTGTAAAGGCTAGCGACGCCCCTGTTATACTATATATTTTTCGAATTGAAGTTTGACATATTTATGTTAAATATAAGTTAAATTATAAATATGTGAATAAATAAAAATGCTTATCTATGTCTTGTGTTTGACATATTCATATTAAATGCACTTTAAATTAAAAATTTGCGGAATTGATAAAAACGAATAATTCCAAATCTTATAAGGTTTGACATATTCATGAAATATTATTTATAATAAAAGGCATTTATATGGAAGTTATACTTTACGGGATACCTTTACAGAGCAAACAATTATAGAGAATGTCGTTTATAGGGAATTATTTTATAGAGAATTATTTTATAGAGAATGTATTTTACAGAGAAATTTTTATAAAGAAAAACAATTATAGAGAATGTCATTTATAGAGAATATCGTATATAGAAAATGATTTTACAGAGAATAATTTTATAGAGAAAGATTATACAGAGAATGATTTTATAGAGAATGATTTTATAGAGAATGTATTATATAGAGAATGATTTTATAGAGAATGTATTTCATAGAGAATTATTTTATAAAAAATTTTGTTTAAAGAATATGATTAATATAAATAAACATAATATATATACCAATATATACAATAATATAATTAAATTAAACATTTAAATTTATATTGTAAGATTTAGCCCTTAAATAATCCAGCATGGTTCTTGAATGCAAATCAAATCTTCAACAATTAGAAAAATCCTCTTGGATTTTCGCGATATTCTTTTTTTGACAGTGGAGCCAGTAGTTCTAAAGAATATTTTTCCAATTTGTAACAATTAACAATTCAGGCTATCTTCGTCTTTGAGAGTTAAAAATGAAAAAGATTTTAAAATTGATAATATAATATAATTACTAACTCTTTATGAATTTCCAGATCGTTGGATGAGGGAACTTATATGAGACGAAAACCTTTGATGTCAGCCCTTTACTCAATTATTGGTATTAGGTTCACGAGATAGTGTCTATTCGTAACAATTCCATAATCATATTTTTATAGCCAGTATAAAGTGAAAATTTTATTTTGTAAAAACTCAAATATTTTTATAGCTACCGAATCTTTGATCAACAAAATTAAGAATTTCGATAGATAGTCTAATCGTACAAGCTAAAAAAATGAAAGGGCTAGTGATAAAAATCAAACCTGGAGAGATAAGTGATTCCATATTATTGCCAATTCCGCCCGTCGATCACGGGCGACTGGATCATAAAATGTTGCTGTCAGTAAATACGCATAATTCTACAGAAGAGTTTCATGAATTGGGAACTAGTAATGGTTATTTATCTGGTCATTATACTAGTAGGTCACAGTTTGACCCAGCAAAGAATAATTTTATAACGTTAGAGATGTGCCACTAAATCATTATATCTTTAGAGAACAATGGTTGGCATATCTTCAATAACTGGGCAAGGATTTAAACGTTGTTATTGCAAACGAAATTGCACGACGAATAGATGCAAATGTAAGTATCTAACATGTCGTGTAATTCTCATTGCCATATTATAAATAATATGTGTCAAAATAAATGATCTACGATAATAATCCTCAAAAAATGTCAATCATAAGTCAATAGTATTCTTTAAAAAAAATATTCATCCAATGATAATAAACATACATACAAATGTTAAGCCAATAGTAATTTCTATAATGTGAACTAGATTATATTTAAATGATGATTTTATATACTACCCAAGTTACCTCAACAGAAAACGGTAATGGTATTGGTAATTTTTACAGATAATTTTATTTTAATAAATATTTCACATTGTATACTCAAGGTCAAGATGCCTCAAATTTAAATAAATTATCAATAAATGGAAATATATCAAATTAAGAAATATAGCCTAGTCATTTCATCAGAGTGTTAGGATTTAGATTTTCACAATATTAATGTTTAAATTATCGAATATTTTTCTTACAATAAAGATCTTATTGAAGAATGGATCCATGTCATGGGAAGATGCAAGCTTACTCAAAACTCCGAAGAACAAATTACCAAGGAGTGTTTTGTGCCTTCCTTTATTAAAAACCCTTAAGGAAGGATCCAATTCCACAATCTAATAAATATTTGAAATACAATTATACATCTTTTAATAAGGTAATTTTTATGAATAAGTAAATATTTGCATTTATATGATTACTAGCTGATAGATCATCAAGTTTGACAAGGAATTAGAATTTTCTCCTTAATTTGATGATAGATGAATCAAAAATTCCCTTCTTATTGATGAACAAATTAGAAATAAGCCTGAGATATGAATCAAAAATTTACCTTTATTTTGATGAAAGTTCAAAATTTTCATTCTTATTAAATATGTATAAAGAGTATACCTTCATTTGAAGAAATATTTGGAAAATGTATGAATATGGTTTTCTCTTATTTTTTTTAAAAAAAATTATGTACTCAATAAAAAATTTAATCTTGCTAGATGGGGGTTTTTTATATTAATTTTTTTTTTAAATACTAAGCTTAAACCAAAATATATGTTGTAGAACACCAAAATAAATAACTATTTACAATTCTGGGAATTTAACTCAGTAAATCAATGAAATTGTTATCACAGATGCAAATTTAGTTTTGGACATATTAAGAATGTGTTTTTTAAAATTGGCTTCAAAGAAATTTAAGACTTTATACGTATAAATGAGAAGAATGAAAACCATCTCTTCCGGTTGTAAAAAAATTTGTTAAAAGGATTGGTAAAATCAATTATTTCCATATTTAGATAAAATTCATATAACTCACAAATCATATTTGTTTTTGATATTTTTCATAATATATTTGGCCTATTCTTTTAAAATTTATAGAAATCTTGGCAGAATGGACACGGATAAAGTATTCCTCTCATTTGACTCATGATTAAAGAATCTTTTAATCTTGGCATTATGAGCTGATACAGAAGAAAAAAATGAAGCTTGCTATAATTGCAGTTCATTACATTGTTTAAGGATTGGAATATAAAAGAAATCACATCAATTTTTGGTGCAAAGCATATTTTGCATATTTAAACATCAGATTTTATTTGTAATAAACAATCGGAAGTTGTAAAATTGATTAAACAACTTAGACATCTTTAAATAAAAATTTTTATTTTTTTTAAATCTATAGACTAAATCTGCCTACTTGTGAGTATTTTAAATTTCTATCCATTGGAAACATTCCAATATAGAACTGACTAAAGAGCAGAATATAAAATGATCATTTAGAAAATTATCTTTCATTGCATCTATTTAATTTTTTTTATTTTTAACATTTTTTTCAAATATTGCTTTTAATTTTAATGGATTTTTTTAAAAAAAATTTTCTGTTAACAATTTTAATGATTTAAAATGGTTTAGCATTTCAATCAGCACCCCATGGGGTGCCAGGTATAATATATTTTCTAACTCGCCTGGGTCAGGTCTGAGTTTTTGATACAAAAATTTAATGGCCTTGGGCTTAAAAATTTTTTATTTAAATTTAGCTTATTAAACTGTTACTAACTTAAAAATATATTGTATTTTTTTTCTTCTAATAACAATAAATTTCAATATGGTAAACAAAGTGATGGCCTAAATACACTGAAATGTTGTTTAATTTCATTTAAAACAATAAATTAAATTGGATATGTACTTGGGCAAAATTTTTGAAACTTAAGATGGACTTGGGTTTGGATTTTCTTATCAAACATGGACTGGGTCTTGATCTGGGTCAGGGCCTGATATAAATTAGGCTCGTGAAGGTCTCTAATTCCAATTAGTGATCTGCATAGGGCCTAATTTTTTAAGCCCGGCCCGAATTTTTTTTTAAAAAAGTTTTGCCGGCCCGGTCCGAACCCAAAATTTTTTAAAAAAGTTTTGCCAGCCCGGCCCGAACCCAAATTTTTTTTAAAAAAATCTACCGACCCGGCCCGACCCGAATTCATTTAAATATAGAAATCAATTTTTATAATTACTCAAAATAAAAGACATATATTATATGTCGTTTAGTTTCAATAAATAAAATCAAATATTTTTATTTTAAATAAAAAATTCAATATAAAATAAATTTAGATATATTTTAAAAATTTTCCAAGGTCCGACCCGACCCCGCCCGAATATAATTTTACAATATTAGGCCCGGCCCGAACCTGATTATTTAAATGGGTACGGGCGGGCCTAACTTTGCAGATCTCTAATTCCAATAATTGAATTTTTTCAATTCTCATCTGACTTTATTTGAACTAAAAGAATGGGCAAACCACAGATATACTTTATTTAAATCATTGCACAACATTTATGATAATTACTGAATTGTCAATTGAAAAAAATAACGATTTTTATATTCAAACATTTCAAGAAATTGTTGGACCTAAGGAAATAAAGAAAGCCATCGTTAAGTGTATATATGGAGGAAATAATAATCCATGATTATTTTGGCATAAATAACAAAAAAAAATGCCTTTTATGACTATGCCTTAAGTTTATATATATTTTAGGGATTCTTTAAGACCCGTTATCAAAAATATAAGTTACTAGCTGATAGCCAGTCAAGAATGATGGAGAATCAGAATCTCCTTTATTCAATTATGATTGAATAATAAATTTCACCTATATGATGATGGTTGAATCAGATATTTTCCTATCTTATGAGGTGTTATTCAGAAATTTATATTTATATAGATAAGGAGTTATTCTAAAATTCTTTATTATTTTTTTAAATAAGTTATGAAGTATATATTTTGTAATTTTAATTTTGTGCACAATAAAAAAATCTTTTAAACTAAATTTTTATTCATTTATAATTGTAATTTACTTAAAAATACATTCTTGCTAGATGAGTTTTGCTTAACTTATTTTCGATTTAACTAAAATCCTCATCACTTTTACTCAAACAACACATGTGATTAATAAGGCTCTGATCTTTTAAAAAAACAATGGTTCTTGTAGGGTAGGTCTATAAGTCGAAAGGCTGCATGATCAGGGTTGCCAGGTCAAAATTTTCTAATTGCGGAGAAATTTAGTATTTTGCGGGATAAATTTAATATTTGGCAGGAGAAATATGATAATTGCGGAAGAAATATAAAAATTGTTAAAAAAAAATTTCTTGCGGGCCAATTAACTTAATTATCCGCCTATTATTTTTTATAATTAATTTATATAAATGCAAAGTCGGTAAATATTTTTCAAAATAAAATAATATCTTGATTTATTAAAATATATTAATTTATAAAATAAAACCAACGATCTTTTTTAAATATAAAAGAATGTAAAGATAAAATTTTATAAAAATAACAAACTATTTTAATTTTACAATATTTTATATGAATATCCCGCAAGACCGCAATTGTAAATCTACCTTGTGTGTGTATAACATTATGGGAATAGGCGCTTAATTATCACGTATCAAGTTTAAATACATAAGATAAAATTGTACTCATTTCAATGATAATTATTTTACTTATTATAGTTCAATCACATTATTATAATCAGTGCAGGGGAGTGTATCTACATTCATTGCAAAACAAAAATATTCTCCATAAATAAGAAATAATACAGATGCAACTACAGTTGCGGCAATTGTAATCACTTATCTTGTAGTACAACATTCACAGAGCTACTTATCATTACAATGTAGGTAGAATCTTTCTCCATAATATTTATCCACTCCAAGATAAATGAAAACTTTACTTGTAGAACAAAAATGAGCAAGGATATCATCAATGTTTTAAAACCTGAATCTAGGAGGTCAATTCTTGACGATTTGAATGACGGGTTTACATATGCAATTCTAACAGATACATCTACTTGATCCTCCGCTATTTCAACAATATTTAAGACGTTTCAATTAAAATATTAAATTTTTTCCCCTCAAATAGTGAAAAATCCAAAGATATAGCTAACCATATAATGGTAAATATAGCAGACTCGGGATTATCAATTCAGCTTTCTGATCTGATAATGCCTCAGTGAATTTGGAAGAAACCAGAGTGTATTTATAGAATTATGTCAGCAAAATGTTGGCTGCGATTTGTTCCTAATACCCGCCATCGACAGAATTTTATAATTTTATAAACCTTTAAAAAAATATTTCTTAAATATAGATTATAAAAGCTGTCCTAACATTTTGAGAATTTTTTTTCAATAATGAATGTCAGATGTATAATTAGGAATGATTTCATATGTAGGAAATCTACTACATGCTGTTAATGTGCAGTTGCAATTGAAAGAATCTTAACAAAAATTCATAAAATTATGCTGCAGATATGTTGGTCTTTACAGTTAAAAATTGACAATAAATTTTATGACGCCTTTGCTAAAACATATTAAAATGTTCAAATATTTTTAAAATACCGATAGACATTGATGTTTTGTTTGAGGAGATTGTAATGCTCTCTATTTTTGATTTACAATGCAAAAAATATATTTATTTTATGCGAATGTATAAATAAGATTTTATAAAATATAGAAAAAATATGGAAAATTAAATAGTTATAATGTTAATTCTTACAAAATTCAAATTACTTTACAAATTGTTAAGGATAATTTATAAACAAGTAATATATATATATATCAAATCTATGTGATGGTTGTTTGAAATTCTTAAAATTAAAAATCTTATATTTTATTTGAGATTTAAATAATGGAACTAAACGTTTACCATTACTGAGATATTTATAAATTTCCTGGCATGACATATTATAAAATGTTTAACCATTAGCTCGGCCTCTAATGTTATAAAAGCAATCCGATTTCTCTCCTTTTTCCAGGCAGTTCTCATCAGGCTAAAAATGCGCTCGGATGAGGCATTAGAATGAAGTAAGGAGAAGACATACTTGCATATTTTTTCCAAGCATGGGGATTTATTGTTATTACGAAAAAATTCTACCCATTCTTCTCTGCTTTTAGACCATCTAACTTTAAGTATTCTGGCCAATCATAAAAAATAGAGAGAATTACAATCTCCTCAAACAAGACATCAATGTCTTTCGGTATTTTTAATATATTTATTAAATTACAAAAACCATCCATTGATGGTTTCTGTTCCAAGGTCATAATATTTATAAATTTGAAATAGAGTTATTAAAATCAAATTTTGATTGTAAATATTCTAAAATTGTCTTAATAAAAATATCTGCTTTATTTAAAAATGTATTATTTGAACATTTCATATAATATTTTTAGTGCCAAAATTTATTATCAATTTTTAACGGTAGAGATGAACAGAGCTGTAGCATGATTTTGTGAATCTTTATTAGTAAATAATATTCTGATTGCAACTGAATATTAACTGCATGAAGTAGATTTCCAACATGTGAAACTAATCCCAAATATGCTTCTGCCATTTCATACTCGAAAAAATTTTTCAAAATTTTTTG